GGTTCACTTGTGTATAAGCAGAGGAAAGGTAGAATTTAGCTTCAACTATATTTTTTGTCACTCTGCAAAAAAAATGTATTTTTGAGATAAGGCTGCTTAGTGAGCTCTAGAGCTCCCATTTCGACTATGATGGCACTAAGGCTATAGGTGAATTCCACCTAGTCTGGATTTTGCATAGGTTCTGGGGATGTAAACTCATGCCCTCAAGCTTGGACATCAAGCATTTAACCCACTAAACTTTGTCTCTAGTCCTGAGGAATGTTTATGAATATGCACTATTATACATAATTTAATTCAGCACAAAATATTTGCCATGGTTCAGAAATGCTCAGTGCAAGACACAGAGGAAAGTATAGTACTAAGATGAGCATATGTATTATTTTAAAAGTATTTAGGATTCGGGAAATTCCTTCCTTTTTTTTTTTTTTTTTTTTTTTTTTGCTTCTGCAGCTTGTTTTATAAATATTTAAACAATAAAACAAGTTTAATGTTCTTAATTATTGTTTGAATGTTTTACGTATTAAATGTATTAAGCACATGTAAATATGTGCAAATGTAACATTCTAAAACACATATTAATGGTTATTTGCAGATTTGAGCTCCCCTAGTTCTACAGTTTAGGTATACCTTTGAATTCTTGTGTTGGTGTGTTCTCGATTGTATGATCACTTGTGTATAGAATTTGAAAATCTCTTTTGCTAAAAATAGTAACTTCCAGGAAAAGTTTCATCCCTTGTTATTAGCCCTATTTTTCATTTCCTGTGGCTGATAAACTTATGATGCCCTGTTTCAAATACGTATGGCTTTTTAAACTCTTTGAATAAAGTATACGGTCATACATCATGGATTAATATTCTGCTCATCATTTCCCCACATTCATACATGAAGTCCTCTCTTGGGGTTAGTGATATGAATACATTCCTGTGGTTTTGCAGTCAAGGGGAATATAGTGTAGTGGGCCCCTTGGGTTAAAACAAAAAGGCTTGTGGTGTACTTTGGCTCCATGTTCCCTATGGCTTTCTTCAGCAACCAGCATCCATGAGAGAGAGTTGCTTTGTTTTTCTAATTAGCAGCAGCTGGGTGAAACAGCATCCAAAAGAGAGGAAATCTAGCAGGGAGAGCTGCAAGCCATCTTCCCAACAGGTGTTCTTAAGGATCAAGTTCTTAAAAAGCTCTGAGGTAAGATGAGATGCACTTGGCTGATGAACTTGTCCCTGATGCTTGAAGAAGAACATCAGGAATTTGCATACAGTTGAGATTTGGTTTCCTTCCTGGTGTACCAAAAGGATTTAACCATTTTCGGAAGGAAATTTTGAATAAAGAGAATGAGAGGTGAGCTTAAATGGAACATCTACATGGAATAATTCTATTTGATTCTTATTTTTAATGGAAAGAGTCTCATTCTGCAGCTCAGGCTATCTTAAAACTCACTAATCGACCCAATAATAACCATAAACTCAGATGAATCTTCTAGCCTCAGCCTCCTGAGAGCTATGATTACAAATATGAATGTTTACACCTGACATCATTTTATTTTTCATCTCTAACATATATGCACACACATACATACTCATTTATGTGCACATATATTCATTAATAGTTTTGTATAAGTTTCTTTTATGATTCAAGGGCATTTACTTGAATGCTATAAATTAAATATAATTCATAAAGAGTGCAAGAAGGAATCCATGTTTGTTGTAGCTCAGTGCAGAACACCCAGGAAATGGGATCAATCAAGATGTACATTCAGTGATGAACAGATATGAAAATGTGATACATAGACACAATGGAATATTACTCATCTGTAAAGGAAAACAAAATCATGAAATTTACAAGTGAATAGAGATGGAAAGATTATAACAAGGTTACCCAGGCACAACAAGACATGAACTCAGAATTCTCACTCATATATGGACTTGAGAACTTTCCAATGCTTAAATTGTAATACACATGAAATCAAGGGAACTACAAATGTCCCCATGGACAGTCACCTTAAAGGAAAGGAGGTGGTAAAGTACAGATGAATTAGAATAGGAACACTATAGGAAGAAGAAAGGTTCAAGCATATAGGGTTGTGGGAAATAGCTAAATGAGGTACCAGTGGAAGGTTTATCAAAAAGGAAGGGTAGATGGTGTCCTGGTTAGGTATATCATTGTTGCAGTGACACAAAATAACCAAAAGAAAGTAGGATAGGAAATAGTTAATTTGGCTTACACTTTCACATCTGAATCTACCGTTGAAGGAAGTCAGGAAAAGAACTCAAAGATGTCAGGAACATGGATTCAGGAGATGATGCAGTGGCCATGGCTACAAACTGGCTTACTCTTTGAGCCTTGTTCAGCCTACATTCTTATAGAATGCAGGATAACCAGCCAAGGAGTTGTCCCACTCACAATGAACTTGGCCTTTCTCTGTCAGTCACTAATTAATAAAATGCTCTACTGGCCTGCCTGTAGCATGGTATTTTCTTAATTGACATTTCTCCTCTCAGAAGACTATAGTTTGTGTCAAGTTGACTTAAAATGACCAAGCACACATGGAAAATCTATGTGGAAACTTATGGTCTTCTAACTCAAGAAAAAGTTCAACTACAGGGCATAGTAGAGCATAGGAGACATAAAAAGCGAGGAAATAACCTTGGGGTTAAGGATGCAGAGATTGGAGAGGGGAGAAGGCAATGATAGGGTAAAATGAAGGATACATTAAAAAGGTTTGCAGAAGTCCACTAGTTTGGATGTGTCAGGTATATTGGCCTTAGAAACCTCAAAGGCAAATTCATCAAAAGCAACTCAGGCTATTGCTGTTGTTTTTAACTGCTTTCCATAAAAAGATAGTAAAATTCTACTGCTGAAGACTACTCATGTTGGATGTAGGACATATTAACATAGAACACTTGAAATCTGAGATGTAGCTAATGCTGTGAATGATGACATGGCTTCATATCTATGCAAGAATAACAATAGCCTTACAAACAAATTTTGTGCTTTTCTAAAGAAAAATCAGTTGAAATTTTCATATATTGAATAAGTATTGTCATTTAGAAATGTTTTAAGACTCCAAGTTTTATTCAATAGACAGTTTAATGTTACCTAAGTATTTTATATTCTTCTAATGAGAAACGTTCTCATCCATGCTTGGAGCTGTTGTGGTCCCATAGCTATGAAATGGAGACAGCCTAGATGTCCATTAACTTAACAAATGGAAAATCGGGAGATATGTTTTAGCTTCAAATTCCAAACTCATACTAACCTCTCCTGTAAAAGAGAAAATTAACAAAATATTAGTAAAATTAGCTTGTCTTGGGACAAATGACTTTTAGATAGTCTTTATAGACCAATTTTGCTTCTAAAAAGTTGTTGATTAGTTTCATGGTCTTGGGAAAAAAAAACCAACTAAATATGTAGCTTAGTAAGAACAATTGAAAGAATATGGATTTCCTTCTACCCTACACTTGAAAAATGGTGAGCCTCCAATTCTGCTCTTTACTATGTCATTTCTTTATTTCTCTAATAAGAGCAGACTTTCCTCTGTCAGGATGTAGGTCTCCCAGTCTCCCAGGGTCTCCCAGTTTAAATTCTTCATCCCCATCAAATTATGAATGTGTCTCATCTGAACAAAACTTTATTTATGCTTAAACAAATAGCCATATAAGTACTTTTCAATTTGTAATTCATTGTTTTACTATACCTAAACCTAAGCAATTCCTAGGTATAATGAATCATACTACAGCTTCATTTATGTGAAGCTGGTAAGAAAACTCACATTTATATCTGGATTAACATCTATATCCATAGAAATTACATGTTGACTATTCTTATTTTCTCTGCTTTTCCCTTCTCCAGTTTTCCAACTCCTGGTACCCCTGCTTCCTAACCTGACCACTCCCAACTGTCCCTTAGAGCTTTTTAGCCATTGAATTTATATTTCTTCTTGTAAATCATTCCTTTCTTATCTCAAATCTTGTTCTCAAAGCACAGGTTTTTCCAGTTATTTCTAGTTTCTTTATCTTTGGAGCTCTGGCCCCTGCATGGCTGTTTTTCTAGCATTTTGCTCAGTGGTTAGTTAACTAGGCTCACTATGCTTTTGGATTTAGAATCTTCTTGGTTAGTGAACTGAATGACCATTGTTTTCTTTACCTCAGTTCTAATGAACTCAACTTGAACTGTTGTTTTTTAGTTTTTTCTTTGGCTGTGAAAAAACAACTAAATACTTAGAGTTCTGGTTAATCAAAATGTTACTGTACTTGAAAATACTCTTAACATAAATGAATCAAGTTCCCAAGGGGAAAAAAAAACAATTATACTTTCAATCTGACTTTTATAGAATTTTAAAATAAATAAATAAAGTCTACATCAATGTTGTTTTAATTCAGTCAACCAAATCAAGGCTGTTCTCCTTTTCTTTTTTCTTTTTTCCAAAATACTAGAGCTCAATAAAATACACACGATTGTTAGCCAAACAATTCTTCTCTCCCTTTTTTTTTTTAATTTTTAAGCCCATGAGTATTTCAACTGAAATTCAACCCACATGTTCCTGATTCATTTACACTTAATTCATTAAAATTGTGTTTTGTAAGAGTTATTTGATGTCCAAGAGTCTTATGAGTCTTTTTATATGACTTTTTATGCCGTTTCCCCCTCAAAAACAGGAAGTGGTATTTTGCTAACATCTCAAACCCCAACAGAATTGAACTGCTCGTGAATCACATAAAGCATACCATGTTGATTACATCTCCCTTGGGTTGTCTTTTACTAGACCAGAACACCTGAAGTAGTTATCCAGAAAACAACAACAACAACAACAACAACAACAACAACAACAACAACAACAACAACAACAAAGCATATTGTTAATGACATTTCAAAATCTTTAACTCAAGTCCAAAAAGGAGCTCCCTGGACAGGGAGACTTCCAAAATTAAGCTTTCAAGGGGACTTGTAAAATCAGTCCATAGTCACATGAACACACAAGCAAAATGCCCTTTCTTGCCATTTTTAAAAAACATATGGAACATCTCATGAATTTGTGTGTCATCCTTTCACAGGGGCCATGCTAATCTTCTCTGTAACGTTCCAATCTTAGTGTATGTACTGCCGAACCAAGCACAAGCACACTGTGTCAGTTAGTCTCTCTAATGTGTACAAAGTCTCAGGAAATCACTGACTTATCATTAAATCCTGCTTGATTAAATCTAAGCCTTCCTTCTTTTCCTCATCTCACCCCAAACAGGGAATAGCAGATAAAAAAGAGAGCAGGGGATAGAGAGCTCACATCAGATCTAAGAAAGTATTAAGCATGCTCTCAATGACAGAGACACACTTTATCTCTTGGTCATAGGCATATTATTTTAAACTGAATGCCATTTTAGTGGAAGATATTTCAGTGAAGCATTTTCTGTGTGCCAAGAAAAGAAAAAGCTAGAGTGCTTGTGTAATAGCATAGACTTCCTTGGACATGTAGTAGTACTGAAGGACATATTATAGAAGCCTTGAAGTCAAGACCAAATCTACAGTCCTGTGCGGAAACCCATCTCCTAAACTATGACAAAGTGTGCTAACAGAGGGACCTCTCCCGACAGGAAAATCTCATGAAGGAATCTAAATACCTCTGAAAACACCTGCAGTGCTGTTTTGGATCAGATCTTCTTCAATTCAAATCAAAACCACTAAAAGCATGAAATTCATATAACATTCATGATCAAAGGACTTGGTTTATAAATGGTTAGTTATAACCAAGTAGCACATGCAAAATCCATATAGACTTGTAGCATTCTCATTAGACTGTAAAAGATGTCCAATACAGTTATTTGGATTTCTTTCTTGAATAGTCTAATAGTAAACATTGGCATAATAACATCCCACTGAATTTTTATGAATCCTTTTTTATGCAACCTTTAAAAACAAAAATAATATGCTTTATCTGTAAGATTCCCACTAGAGGCTAAAAAAGTAATTTAAATGTTTTAATAAGGAGGCCTAATAAAAAGTACTAACATCATATTTAATACTTGAATTGAAAGAAAAAATTATCCCATACCGGAAAAAAAACAGCTGAGGTGACTGCCTTTTATAGAACATCATCGGTAACACAGACATCTAAAATTATCATTTGGCACTGGATCAATAACTTATCTAGAAAAGCAGTTTCTATGCAATGGGAGGGCCTGACTCCAAGCACCCACACAGCAAGACAGATGTAATGGTAGAGGCTAGTAATCTGTGAACTGAGAGGCATGAACAGGAGGATTCCCAGGCTTGCTGGCCAGCTCATCTTGGTGAATCAGTGAGTTCCAGGTGGCATCCTCCATCAAACAACAACGTAGAGAACAGCAGAAGAAGACATCTGATGTTGATGTTTCACTCCCATAGATCATTTACACACATGTGCACCCTATCCATGAACACATACACATGGACACAACACACTCTAATAAATAAAAAGTAAAAAAAAAGTATCACCTGAGTATCACACAGTGCTCATTTAAAGGTTTCACCCTATATGGATGTTTATGTAACTTGGATGTGCTTACATTGTAGCATCATTTAGCCATCCTTGGAACAACAAACCTGAAATTAAGTGGTTAAAGCATTATGGTGTTTTTATTTGTTTAAATGTCTTTTGTTAGGGTATGAGGTACTAGTCACCTGTAGCAGTGTCTGTGACTTTACTTCTGTGTCTGAACTCAGCTGTCCTGCTTGATGAAGAGTGACTGGGCTACATGACCTAGAGTGGCATAATTGGCATCTCTTTCATAATGCTGCTCAGCCTCCACCAAGTTAGCCTGTGTTCTGAAGCAACAGCACCACTTCACATTTCAACTGGAAGCACATAAAGGTTTTCAATGTACCCTCATGCTCAGAATATCATTTATTATTATTATCATCATCATCATCATCATTACAATTGTCTTGATGTGGTGAAAGTGACATGTCACTAAAAGTTTTATTTGCCTTTTTCTGATGACTGAAAATGCTTAATATCTTCTCATGTTCCTTGTGGTAACCTGCACATCTTCTCTGGAAAATTATTAACATTTTCTGTAAAAGAAGGTATTTACTTATTTGATTCTCTTTTCCTTCAAATTTTTCTTTGTTTTAGTCTTTATTCCTTTCCTTTTTCCTTTCTCTATTTCCTTCATTCCTTCATTCCTTTCTCCCTTTATCCCTCCCTCCCTCCCTCCTTCCCTCCCTTCCTCCCTCCCTCCCTCCCTCCCTTCCTTCTTTCCTACCTTCCTTCCTTCCTTTTTTTACTTACATAGAGAAAATCTCACATTTAGCCAAGGCTGGTCTTGGATTTTCAGTGATGCTTCAACCTGAGTCTCATTAAATGTTGAAAGAACTGACTTGCACCACTAATCCAACATCATCTTCTTTGAACTATTATCATATTGTTTAGGCCTTCAGTTTCAGATCTAAGGCTTCATCACTGGGCTGTGAGATGGCTCAGTGAGTAAGGGTACTCACACCATGAACATGAGGACCTGAGTTTGAATCCCCAGCATCAGTGTAAAAGTACAATGACTTTGAACATCACTACTGTCTACTCTATTCATTGACTTTTAGAACTTCTTTTGGGGTGTTCTGACCAACAGCTGTGTACCACTTGTGGTATTACTCAGTTACTCTCTCTGTCCTTTTAGGCCCTTGTGTGGTAATAGTTTCTTGGTAGTCTTGATTTAGGGGATGACATTAAATCCTATTCTTTAGTCCCAGGCTTCCTGCCTCACTTTTCCATCTTGTAATGTCTTCTAAATTGTATTTTCCTTTCTGAAATGAAGAAAAAAGACCAGAACAAAATAGTAGAGGAATTTGCATTGTTTATATGGCATGATTTTTTTCCATTGCTAACTTTGGGAAAACTTAAGTATCTGGGTGCTGAATCTGAAACTATTGCAAGTTTGCATTCTCTTTTAGAACTCGGAAGTAGAAGGCAACAGTGCAGTGGCAGAGTGGTCACCTAGCATGGACACATAGCCCTGTGTTGGGAAAAATATCCTGAAAATAAAAAATATCACCAAGAAGTATCACAAATTACATAAAAAATGCAGCAAAGCACTTTGTATAAAGAGTCCCCATTTTGCAAAAATGTCTTACATTAATACACACTGTGGGAGTTTAGATGTAGTTGGCATCCATAAGTTCACAGCAAGTGGCACTATTAGGAGGTATGGTCTTGTTGGAGTAGTTGTGACCTTTTTGGAAGAAGTCTGTCACTGTTGGGGCAGGCTTTGAAATCTCTTATGCTCAAGCTACACCCAGTGTGGCAGACAGACCACTTCCTGTTGCCTGCAGGTCAAGATGTTGGACTCTCAACTCCTTCTCCAGCTCCATCTATGTGTACAGACCACCATGTTGCACCATGATGACAGTGAACTAAACTGAAAATGTAAGCCACCCCAATTAAATGATTTCCTTTATAAGAGTTGCTTTGGTCGGGATGTCTCTTCACAGTAGTAGAAACCCTAACTAAGACATGCTTCTAAAATTTAGAATTTACTAAACAGTGTAGAGGAAGACATGCATGCTTTTTAGAGGTTTTTTTTTTGCATATAAGCAATAGAGCTGGCTGTAGCATCATACAAAATTTTCTTTTGAAAATTATATATTAGCAGCAAACTGAATTAACTCATGTGTATTAATTTTCTTTGAGAGCCAAAAATATTACACTTGGAAAACTATCAGTGAGTCTCATATCAAAAGAACTCTTACAAACTATTTTGTATATAGCAATATCCACAAATCTGTTAGTCAAATTCACAACAGCCACAGTTGATACATATCATAATTTTTTAAAAAGCCATGGAAAGAACAATTAGTGTTTAACTCTCATTATGTTTACTGTCTTAGACATAAGCTGGTTGCTAAATCAGATTTGAAAAGACAGAAATAGAGTCTATATAAACATATACTTCAGGTAAAAGAATTGCAGATTTTAATCAGAAAACATGATTCTTATGCTTTAATTGCTTATCTTCTCCATTTTTATTTAAAATCTCAAGAATATCAGTTTTTAAAGATTGAACAGGAAAAAATACCTTGGACTTTTGCATGTGAAGCATTTTTAAATCTTGTGAACGTCAAACTTAGCAAGAGAATATTTTTCCATATAAGGTGACCAAGCTCAGGCCTTTTGTTGCTGAAGTTCCGTCCTGTGTAAGAACATCAGCTGTTGCAGCACTTGTCTGCTTTATGGAATTAACTGCATTTTTTCCACTGTTCTATTTCACTCTGCAGTTCCCATAACTTAGACTGCAGATATGGTTCTGGCATGTGGAACATTATCCTTCACCATCCAGAGCTGACAGTACCAGGTCTACCATCACTTGGATCTGCACCAGTTGAAAGATTGCCGGCAATTATGGAGGATAACTTCAGAAATACCTTAAATCATGACTAATTCTACGCCTTTGCATGAGGAATTGCTGCCCACGGGCTCAAAGATGGTTGAGGACACCTAAAATATCCGTTTATTATAGGAAGGGTACAGACTTGTCCACCCACACCTTATCTGTATATAATCATGTATACACAAGCCTTGTTAGCTTCCCAAATGCATCCCAGAAAACATCACTGTCTACACTGTCCACTCTCCTCATCTAAGCACCAACATCAATGGGAAAAAGCTCTGCAGTGACTCACATGCTTCTTTAGTGCTATCATCCTAGACATAAAGGCTAGACTATCCATCCAAGACTTTACTAGAGATGGCTGTTCTGATGCCATCGCTGTATGTTAACTATTGCATAAGAGAAAGGACAAGAGAAAATTAGGACTCCTTTACTTTGCATAAATATAGTTTGCTTGTGATCCTGTTCCTCCATCTCCAAGTGTGAATGAAAGGAAAATGCCATTTCCCCAGTAGCTTCAGTTAAGTAATGAGGGAGAGGTCAGGAAAATGAAAGAAAGACTCCGATCTTTAGGGCTTTGATCTGACCCCTGGATTCTGGAGGCACTGAGTATATTGTGACTGAGAAAGGATAAAATGAGCCATATTTTATTTTTAATGATGCTGTCTCAGAGGTATAACATACCCGTTGGTGTTACTCAAAAGCAGATTTGACCAAAAATATCTTTAGACAGAAAAAAAGAAGTCTCAAAGAAGAGGTA